GTATTCTGAAAATTATTTTTTAAAATATATGAAATATATTTCAAAAAGAGTTTTCTAGAACGATTTTTTTTCTTATATGTTTTTTTCACCTTTTCTTTCTCTGCGCCATTTTCCTTCTTTTCTTTCTCTGCAGCAATGGTGATGTTGAAAACAGTGATAAAACCTTATTAAATTAGTAATTGTAGGGTACAGGAAGTAATAGCCTAAACTAAAATAAAGCCTATTTAATTAGTGATCATGTGCCAATAATATAAAACATTAATTAAGATGATTAAAATTAGGGTTAAATATGTGTTTTCGTTCCTTAAGTATCACCGATTTTGGTTTAAGTCCCTACTCGAATTTTTGATGGTTTTTAGTTCTCAGTTTTGAAACTTTTACTATATAAAATGAATGATGTTAACTTTGTTGTTTGACGTGCTAACGTCCAGCTCCACGTGTCATGCACCTGATTATTTTAATTGCGTGGCATAAGGTGTGGGTGGTCTGTAGGCCTGGTGGGTGGTCGGCACTCGGTCCCTGGTGTCGACATGGTGGTCTTTGTCCTAACGTTCGGTTCTTTTTTCCACACCATTCGGTCTTTCAGTATATTGCACTCCACCCGTCCCATAACCGTTCGGTCTTGCCCAACACCATTCGTGTCTTTCATATATTGACCACCACACCCGTCTCATAATAGTTCGTCTTTGACCAAACATCGTTCGGTCTTTTATAAATCCGCTTCTATTGCATTGTTCTGTTGATTGTAATAGAACCCACCAGGCCGACCGACCACCAGACTGACCACCCACCAGGCCGATCGACCACCAGACATTGTGGCCGACCACCCACCAGGCTGACCGACCACCACACCTTTACTGCCACGTCAATTAGAAGTAGTCAGGAAGGTGGCATCATACGTGGACTGGCAGTTATCCACATCTACTAAAAGTTAACGCCATCCAATTTTAAGAATTAATAGTAAGAGTTTCAAAACTATGAGGATTAAAAACCATCAAAGTTTCGAGTAGAGACTAAAACCAAAATCGTGTGATACTTAAAGGATGAAAACATATTTCATCCTTAAAATTATATCTGTTTAAAACGAGATAATTATAATTATTTTCAAAAAATGCAACACTAAAATGAATATCATTATTATATTTGTTATAAGATAATTTCCAATGTAATTTCTTTTTAGTTCATTTTTCTATTTTTTTATTGATAAGATAATTTGAATATAATTTACATTTCAACATCACATTGTTAATGTTATGAATATAATTTCAGTATTATTTTTTTCTTTCTTTATTTCTCACAAAAATATTATTTAAAGAAAGCAACTAAATATAATTTGTATTTTAGTAGTTACGAATACCTGAATGTTTTATATGAAAATATTTATTATGTAAAAAATATTTATATTAATTAAAACAATTACTTATATTATTATGAATCTGTGTAAGGATAAAAATGAAAAGAATGATGATTATTTTTTTATATTACAGATATTTTTACTATGTTATGATAAATAGTCGTAGAAGTAAAGAACGTATTTTATTTTGTTCATTACTTGTTTCTTTTAAAATAAAATCCTATTTGCATATAACTTAAATATAAAAAAATAAAAAAATTAAAGTATAAAATAATACTACATGTAGAATAAATTATAGCATTCAAGTAAATTGATAATATTTTAATAAAAAATATTAAAATTTAATTATTAGTCAAAAAAATTAAAATAATATTTGTAATTACCTTGTTTGTATTAACTAAGTATGTTACTTGAATTAAATTATATATATGAATAAAGTTTAATTATTTATAACTACTTTTTTATTTTAGATTTGCAATTGAAAGTCCTTCATTTTTATTTTAGATTTGCAATTGAAAGTCCTTCCATGGATTCATGAAAAAGTTTCTTGTTAAAGGAGAAATGTGTCAAATTATCTATATAACATGTGAAACTATCGAGACACGGGAACAAATATTTCAATCAAGTACAATCATAGTTTCATTCTCATGGATAAAAATAATTGGTTTAATGTCTAGGTAGGTCTCTTTTTTCGTCCAAAATTTCAAATAAGTCTCGTACTTATTTGATGTTTCAATTAAGTTTTTATTTTTGAAAAATTGAAACAAATAGAGACTTACCGTCAAATTGGGCAAACATCGTTTAGGAGGCCCTTATGTGACATGTTTGACAGTATATTTTTAATTGACATAACTTAAAAACTGTATGTTAAGTGTATTTTTTAATTTGTCCGTTAAAAACTTAGGTCAATTGGGAAAAAACTAATTACATTAAGGACAAACTGAGCAAAAGAAATAAAAATAAGAGCATCCCCTTTCTTTGAGAAATCCAAAAATAGATTTTGAAGCTTTGTTTTAGGGTTTCTTCCAAATCAAAAACAGATTCTAAATCAGATTTTGAGAGTCTACAATGGCCTTAAGATGGACACATATTCAATACAATTTGCAAGGAGCTATTGATTTGGAAGGTCCCTCGGATGCTAGTAGACCTGCTTTCGATTTGGAAAAGTCCTAGCCAAAGCTTTGAATCTGTTTTCGATTTCTTAGAGAAAATATGCCTTTATTTTTATTTCTTTTGTCCAGTTTACCCTTAATGTAATTAGTTTTTTTCAATTTGACTAAAGTTTTTAATTCACAAATTAAAAAATACACTTCACAATCATGTTTTTAATGTCACATCAATTAAAAGTATATTCTTACCATGTCTCGTAAGGGCCTCTTAAACAACATTTCTTCAATTTAACGATAAGTCTCTGTAAGGACCTAATTGAGACACCAAATAAGTACGAACCTGTTTGAAATTTTAAACGAAAAAAAAATCTAACAAAACATTGAACCATTAATTTTAATTATCTAGTAAATGTACCAAAATAAATCTCTAATTAAGGATTATGTGAAACGAATAGATGTACCGAAAGAAATCCATAACTAAGAACTAAAGAATTTGATTCTCACTTCTGAGAACTTAAAAAATTATATTAAAAAGTATTTAAATCAATAATAAAATTTATACAATAATTTATGTGATAAAAAGTATTTAAAATCTATAAGTTATTTTAATCAGATATAATGGAAATATAATAAAATATGTGAATAAAATATTTTATCCTGCAGAATAAATTAAATAATATTGTTTTATTATATTTATATTCGACATGGACCCGATAATAATATGATTATTTTATTTTCAAAAGCAATAATTCTTTGTATTTGATTTACAAAAGTTAAAAAAAATCAAAAAGTAATAATTTTGAATTAACCTAACAAAATGAGAACTCTTGAATTATTAGTGAGTAAAATATTTGAAATGCTTTTATTAAATCACTTTTAGAATTTATAACAAAAAGACACTACATGGAAAGTTTGTAACAAAAAAATAAAACTAACCAACAAAATTTAAAATATAATATCCAAAGACAGGCTCTTGAAACAAAGTACCTATAAACTTCATACAGACACAAAAGTATGTAAGCAATAACATAAAGACAAATAAAAAATAATAATTTTCTTGAATTCATTCATAATGTCTCTTCACGTAACAATCCAAATTTAGGTTGAGTAATAAAGAGATGTTCATCAAATTTACTTCAACAACAATTATCATTTTATTCTTCACTCTATTTATATAACTATTCACAATGGGCACGAATAACAACTCCTTTTACTAGTAGGACATTCTTTTCTTAAGAATATGTATAGAATGACTCTACACAATAATACAAAATTAAAATAAATGATCTTAAATAAATAAAAAAGTAAAAGAATTCGTTTCATCCATCAACTATTATAATTTTTGTTAACTTATCATAAAATATTGAGTAATACTTTTTTATTACATATTAAAAAAGTATAAATAAAAAAAATATTTTTTTTTATAAACACCTAATAGTTAGTACTACACTTTAATGCGCTTTTGTCTAACTAATACATAAAAAGGAAAAAAAGAGAGGTAAAACTATGATTTTATTATATAAACCAAAAATCCTGATTATAATATTCCATTGTGTTATTCACCATTAAAATAAGTTGAGTATTTTAAAATGTAAGAAATTTGAGAAAGTGAAAATTTTCTATAATGGGAATTTGCGTTTTACTTCATTTCTATTTACGCAATTATTCAAATGAACTAACAATCAGGTATGCTGTCTTTTTTTTCCTAAATTAAAAAAAAACCCACAATCATACATTTATTTTCTTCTAAATCAAATAAAACTCAATTCAACAATAAAAACAAAAAAGGAACAATGATAATAAAATTGGCAAAAATATTCTTGAATTAATAACAAGAATTATAGTAGAGGAATAGTAACAACACAAAAAATACCTTCTAATCTAGATGCAAAATATTGATGAATTAAATGATGATCGTAAATCATATCATGTACCGTATTAGATAAATGCAGACGATGCCTTCTAATCTAAATGCTTAACGTTTTTAACTCAATTCCCTCCCTTAGATAAATATTAGTAAAATAGAAAAAAAAAGTTCCATTGAATAAACTTTTCATACCAGAATGATCCGGCGGGCACTAAAAATGAAGTGAGATTTCCTACCTCACTTTTGTTGTCATCAAAAACTTACAAATATTTAAATTGATAATTAAATATATAGATCTCATGAAACTTCCTTAGTATTAAACTAAAGGTTTCAAAAACTTGATCAAATTTGTTAAATGAAAGTGTTTTTCCCTCAGTATTTTTACCAAAATCTACATTGTCATTTTGAAAATCCTTAAGACTACTAGCCTTACCAATTCCCACAAAACTCTTTCGATCTCAGCACAATTGCAGCTTTTAATTAGATGTGTCTTATTTCATGTGATAATCTTAAATCATCAATTACTTGAATAGCAATTTGAAAGTATTGAAAGATGAAAATCCAACAAGAAAGAGTTTATATATATGAACACAAAATTATCAGACGCAAAGCGACGACCCACCCTGGAAATGCAATCTAATAAAGGACATTGGAGAAGGAAGCAGGAAAAGAAAGGAAGAAGATAAATGAAACAAGAATTTATTTTGAGTAGTCAGATGGTGCATGTTTGGTATGAATGTCTGTATCTGTTTGTTCGTCTGTCTGATCTACTAGTTGTGATAGTGAAGGTATTTACAGAATTGCAATGTTATAAAAAAAGAGATGGAATAGAAATAGTTTGCGTTGGTTGGTTCACCTAAGTTCGGCTCCACCATTGCAGTAATGGACGCCATTGGTGCGTAGTAGATTAGGGGGATACTTTACATTGAGGCGCTTTAGGCCCCATATCCGAATAGTTCGGTCATCACTCGCCGAGGCTAACATGTGAGGGTTTGCTGGATTCCAGCTCACACAGTTAACAGCTCCAGAATGACCAGGCAATGCCTCTACTAGATCCCCCGAGTTCCTGTGCCATATGTAAACCTACACCCACATACTAACCATTACTATTAAACTCAATTTCTAATATATATATATATATATATATATGGAACAGGAAAGTCATGCCGATTTTAAATTAATACCTGAGAATCCTCACTACCACTAGCAATGAAAGATTGCTTAAGACCACCAAAGCAAGATCTGACTATAAATCGGGTGCGTTTATGACTTCTGTACTTGCCAACAAGTTTAGGATCACCTTCTAAATTCCAGAGGTGAATTTCTTGGTTCAAAAGATTAGCCAACAAGAATCTGCTATCCTTTGACAAAGAGAAGGAAGTTATTGTCTCCTCTGCTTCAATAAATCTCTCTTCTTTAGTTTCTTTGTTGAAGAACAGTATTGCATTGTCTTTGCAAATACTCAAAAAGTGTTCCCCATCACTCGTTATTTCCAAGTCAGAAATCTTAAGGGTTCTCTGTCCTTTCCAAGAGTCCACTTCTTTCCCATCTAAATCCCACATACAAATGCTCTTGTCACTGAGGCCAGAGAGTATATATTTCCCACTTGGAAACCAAGCACAGGAGACGAGACCAGGACCATTTTTTTCATAAACTTGCAGGCACTTACCAGTAGATACATCCCACCGCCTAACAGCCTCCTCCACACCACAGGTTAGGAGCTCTTGGTCATTAGGACTCCATGAAACAGAAGAAACAGATTTCAGGTGACCAGATAATTTATGCTTCATAGACATTCCACCATTCGTGTCAACCTATTAAAAGAAAAGGAAAAAAGCAAAAATGTGAAACCTAATGCACAGCTTTAAGTACATTCTGACTGTGTGTGCTTCCATTGACCAATGTTTACAGAAGCATGGTACATAACATGCAAGGAGTACCGGAAGACAATTCCTATCAATGACGGTTTACACAGTCAAGTAATGGAAGAGCCTTTTTAATATAGTATGTCAGAACAGTTACTTAACTTTCAATAGTGTTAGGCCATATACTTAGGACAAAGGAGTGCAAAGTTTCACATTCGTACATCACTTTAATAATTCTTTTAGCTATTTTAACATAATTATCAATTTCAGATGGTTGGGTAGTCGTCAGCTGCGAAAACACTATAGCAGGATAAATGTTATTTGAATTATTTTAATATAAACTAGTAATTTATATCACACATAATGACACAAGGATAAATAATTTCGTACAAAACAAGTCAAATTACTCAATCACCAAAAATCTTGGAGCAATAAGAGCATAGTAATGAAATCAAAAAATAGACAACGATGGCAAAATTAATATAAAAAAAAA